GAGAGAGAGAGAGAGGGAGAGAGAGGGAGAGAAAGAGAGTATACACTTTTGTTTCCCACAGCCATTAATGCCCTAATTGGTGCTCTGGCATACTATACTGTTTGTGCATGTGTGTGAGTGCATATGTGCGTTAGTGTTGATAGCATTCCTGCTTTCCCATGCCTTGTATAGCTTACTCCTTTGGATCACTGCTTTCTCACGTCCGGTATGGTGATCCAGGCTGTGTCAGCTCACAGTGTATTTTAACACCTTATGATTAGAAAAGGGGGAGGACTTAAAGTTGAGTTGTCTTAAAAAAATGATAATTTTCTCATCTGTGACAACATTTGCGTCACCCAGATTCCTCAAGATTTGCAGCCTCTCCCACACTCCTGTCTTTATACACATGTGTGTGTGTGTGTGGGGGGGGGGGGGGGTTCCTATAATATGTCATTTATAATTTAACATTACCACCAGTAGTGAGATGATGATAATGATAATGTGTAAGAGTTACTAACAGCAGGATGTTTAATTAGTCAGTTTTGAATTTAATCTTATTAAAAAACTGTCCTGGGGAATTACTAAAGAAATTGCAACTGCAATTGACGAAAAGAAAAACAAAACAGCATCTATAAGCATTTGTAAGGCTCTATAATTAAAGAGACGCAACCAGTTTGACCTTACTTGACCTACTGAATCGTGTACTGTAATTGTGGGCTTTTCACCTCATGTCCACCTCATGTTATTCCACATAGCGCATCACTGAGCTTGGCAATCAACTGATAAGCCGGATGAAGTTCTCCTCATCAAACTGTGGTCTTTAGACCTCGTCATGCATGAAGAATCCACAGCTGGTACACCAGATAATTTGCAGAAATTTGGCGGCAGATTTTTTTGTGTGTGCATTTCTGTTGTATTTCTTCAACTCTGGTTTTGGTGCTGTTTGTTGCTACTTTTGTCCAACAGGCTTAAAAGAGGCTTGATGTAAATACTCGTCTCTTCGTGAATGTGTAGTGCTGCAAACCTTCTTTATTTTCAACCAATTAAACGAATGATGATAAAGAGAATAATCCTCTCTTCTTTTCACGCTGGCTTCTAATTATCCCGAAACAGCTATATATCTGTGTGGAAATGAATTAGATTTGATATCAGCTCTTTTGCTTCATCACCCACTCTCTGGCTGCCTCTTGCACACACATTTACTCAAAAATAGTCACTTTGCTCCCTCTCAGTCATTTGGAGAGGGACACAAGAGGATGAAAAGAAGCAGAAAAGCACAAAGGCTCAGGTGTTCACTCGGTTAGCGAGAAGCACCTCCCAGGTGGACAGGTGAATCAGAGACACACTATCTTCATAGGTGGTCTACATGTGCAAACAGAGCTCCATTCAGGGTAGGCTAACTGCTCCTGCTGGCAAAGCTACCAGATTTACAACACCAGCGGCTTAGAGAAAGCCCATGTTTTTGATGGAGCAGTATCATTTAGAAGTGAGCAGATACTGTAGATTGAACTGCATTGCAGCAGAGTGCTGCAATCATTCTCAATCCTCAGCTCTCTTGCTGCCCATTTTGCTGCGATGCACAAATAAAAACAACTAATTCAATTCAGTCCTCTGAAAGTTGAGTGTGAGTATATAAGAGAAGGGAGCGTGTCAGTGCAAGTGTTGGAAAGTGATAATTAGTCATTTAGAAATGGAGGTTTTTTGCACGTATACCAAAGCATACTATAGCTGTTTGCATCTATATTTGTGTACTGGTGTGTTTGCATTGCTTTGCTAACATAAGAGAAACTTTTGCTGGATTTATTGTCTTGCTTTGGCTTTGTGTATGTCTTTGATTACAAAGAGGGAGGGATTATGGGAATTCTACCTACACAGAGGCACATCTAGAAAGGCCATTACACCTCCAATAAGATTATTGGACTATCTAACAAGAAGCCTTATGTATAACCAGAGGTCCAGGTAGCAGGAGATCTTAAGCATTTAGATGTTATTTTGTGCAGTAGCTCAAAAAGGTCAACAGCAGTTGTGCATGGGCTGAGTGATGAATGTGTATAAAAAGATGCTTGAACAGGAAAAGAAGCGAAAAGTTCACACACAAAAGAACACATAGCGAGCACAAACATTGGCTCCAGTGTGCAGATGTCATTGTTTTTAACACTTTACTACAAAGACGTGCATTATGTAGTTTGTCTATTATGACTGGATTGAGGGTTTGCAGACACATTAACACTTACCATGTGGCATTTGTGTGTCCAACACTTTGAATCTGTGATAATTAATCCTGATAATAAAGTATCAAGAAAACAAGGCACCAGATACACATGCTTACAGGCCAATCCATAACCATCTGGCAATGACCAGGTGAGGTATTCCCCAGTTGGCAAGCGATTGCTGGAAGTTGACAGGGGTCACCAGAAAATCAGTTGCTAAAGCCCCAGTCATACTGGCCTAGAGACCAATATGTGACACACTGGCAACCACGAGTCACAAGTGGAAAATGTGTATTCCCTGACAGTCTGGCAAAAAACTCCTTGATTTGATTGCCAGCAGATTGTATGTGATCACCTGTAGTTTGCATGGAATGTGAAGACTTGTCAACAAGCACTCACAAGCTACTTCAGAGAATTACTGAAACTGGGAAATGTGCAGCACAGACTCAGAAAGTCAGAGAAGACCCACCAAACCCCAAATTCATGATCCAAGATAGCAGAAGTGCACACAAATAATAGTAAAACTGTAAAGTTTTTAATGTGTGTGCACTACTGCGTATTTCTAAGTTGCTAAATAAGTGATATGCAGCACACTGACAAGCTCCTATCCATGAACATGCTGCAGAGGCAAAATGAGTAAACAGCACATTTAACATAGGAAAAATCTTGGCTATTGCATTAACATTGTGAAGAAGCTAGATAAAATGAAAGCTTAATAAATTTAATTTCGGTTACTGTACATTCATCAAACTACTGTGTTTACACCTCAGCAAAGTTGTGGTCTGTCGCTGCAAGTGGTAAGATTTCTGTGAAGGTGTATGTCAGGCCACAGGCTGTAGTTGTAACACAACTATAAATCAGCCTGAACACTTTGGAGCCATTTATAAAAGAACCACTTCAGTTGCTAATGTTATTTTGCTAGCCTTAGCTAACAATACTCGCAGTTTAAACTTTTAACATAAATGATTTTCCTATTGTTTTTAATACAATAATGCCTACAAAAGTTGTGTTTAGTGTCATCTTGTGTGTTTGTGGGTGTCTTCATCTGCGCTGACACGGGTGATGGCGCGAATGGTTTGACCGGAGGTTGCCAGGCGAGAGCGCCAAAGATGAATGGGATGACAGTGATGGAGGGGGAGAGGGGAGAGGAGTGACAGGTAATCCATCAGAGGCGTTACTGTCATTATTCAATTACCACCCATCCTTAGCACTCTTGATAACCCTAAAACACACACACAGGCTACAAGTGTGTGCATGCAGTTGGAAGCTGCAATGGGTTAGCAGATCCTCTTACACACAGTGGGTTTGTGCTGTGTGGGTGGTGAGGTGAGTCGGGACACAGAACTTGGCACTAGTTCTTTATATGCTTTTAGTGCAGTAGACCCTTAAATCTCCACCTCTTCCTCTCTAATGTCCTCTATTCCCTTCTCACAGCTCTCATCGCTCACGTTTTTCTCCCCTCACCTCTCTTTATCGACCTCACCCTCAACCTAACCCTCTTGCTCCTCACTTCTCCGTCTCCATTCCTTAGTTCCCACCATACCCCCCGCCTCCTCCTCCTCTTCCGCCTATCTCTCTCCTCTGTTCCGTCTCCTGAGCCCAGAGCTGATAAGGAACACAGAGTATGATTAGACGCCAGTGACACCAGGCTTATCGTTCTGCTTCCACAATGCTCCCAAGATCACTTGCCCAATAACAGCCAAGCATGGCAAGCATGAACACACACATGCACACACACATGTTGCATCCATAATACGGCCCAAACTGGGTGAAAAATGACCACAAGCAGCAGATTGTTTAAATGTGAAGTGGTGGGGAGGAGGACGTTTATGCAGCGTAGTGTGCATAGGTGTATAGAGAGTGACAGAAGATGCACGCTCAGGGTTTTAAATTTAAAACACTAGATGGCACTGTCCACTCAGCAGTGTTCGTGTATTCATTAATGCTTTTTCCAATAAAACCATTATAATGCCAGAGGGCATACACATTACTGACGCTCCTCAGGGTGTTTCAGCATCCTCTCTTTTCCAGTTTTCCTCTCACTTTCCTCTCACTTTCCTCTTCTCATTTCATTTTAATTTTCTCCCTTCTTTTGCATTTACACTTCTCTTTTTTTGCTCTCTTCTGTCCTTGTGTCTACCTTTCTGTTCGCCCTTTTTCTTCCCCGTGTCCAATCCCTTTCTCTTTTCTCCTGTCTGATGTTCTACTCATCAGTTTTTGTTTTCGTGTCTTGTGTCCTCTATTTCTTGCCATCTTTCCTCTCTCCCCTTCTTCTAAATCTTCCCTGCACCCCCAAATTTCCTTCCCACGCTTACCTCTGCTCCACCTTAGTCTCTTCTCTCTCATCTCTTTTCTCCTTCACCCTTCCTTTTCTGTCATGTTTTTTCACTTCTCCCCTCTGTTTCTAATTTACCCTTTTTCTTTAAGTGTTTCACCTCCTTCCTTTCCCCCTTTTCTTCTCCTCCTCCTCTTCTTTCATATATTCTTCTTTTCTGGCACTTCCTCTTCTCTGCCCTTTTTTCTCTTCTTCTCCACTCACACACTTTTTCACTCTCCTCTCTTGTCCATGGGGCAGTAGCTCTGTAATGTTGTTAGGACATGCTCTCATTAATAACCTACACTTTGAGAGTCTTTGCTAGTGGAGCGTGAATCTCCCGTTCGTTTGGGGACGAATAGAGGGTGTTTCACCGTGTGTGCGTGTGTGTGTGTGAGCATAAAAGAGAGAGAGAAGACAGACAACGAGAGAAAAGCCAATTGGTGAGTGTAATGCACAAAAAGCATGTTG